AAATTGGGTGATACATATGAACAAGGGGAGCTATTCACTTGGACTAATACACTTCACATAATCAAGATCTAACATAACTTACAGGTAAGTTCGTTTGAGCATACTAACGCTCTGCAATGATAAACGATAGGTTGTATACAACTTCACAAATTGTACACAATGCATGTTTCAACTGAAGTTCCATTTCCATTGTAACTATTAATGTTAGGGCTTTTAACAACAGGTAATACGACGTTCAAAAATAAAAGGACCATCTGTTACATGATAACAAGTAAATAACGTAATAACATAGTTGTGTTTGAGGTGTGGAAACTTGGTTTACCTCAAATGCCGCTTGAGCAAAGTTATTGTCTGGCATAAGAAATTTGTGAGGTGTCTCAGAAAACGCGCTCCTGCCCGCCGCAAGTCTGAGGGCACTACAATCTAGCCGGTGCAGAGGTAGACGCGTTTCATGTACTGTGGGCTGTTTTTTATGATACCCTTAGACTACTCTGCTGAAACAGACTTTATTTATCTACATATAGTGGAACAGAAGCACAATGATAATGTTTTTTACAGTGACAAATAAATATACTTAGTAGTCTTACATCAAGAATAGAACGATATCATTCTCACAAAATTTTATTGACAAGTAATAAGAACTAAATTAATAATGTGTTGGGCGATCCCTCAGCTGAATACATTCCTGTATACGTGTAGGCATCGACAAAATAAGTTGATCGATGTCTGGTTATGGTACCACACTCCAAGCAACTCGAACTTCGCGGATTAGTTGTGGCAGACTCTGTGGCCGAAGCTGAACGGGGTGGCCACGGCAAAACATTAACACCTGCTTCTTGATGAAAGTATGGGAACGTGCGTTATCTTGCTGAAAGAGGACGTGTGGACGGCCCTATGTATTCGGCAGTAGTGGTTTGTAGGGCATCGTTAACATAACACGCAGCAGAAATATTGCCTTGAAGAAAGAGAAGGGATGATCGGCTAAAATAGGCAATAGCCCCCCAAGTCATTACTTGAACAGACCTGTCTACATGCATCGCAACAGCAAATCCAATTTCACACCGTTCCCCACTCCGGCGTCTTACCATTCTACGACCATCGTGTGTACCTAGACAGAATCGCGATTCATCGCTGAAGATGACATAATGCCATTGTACCTCCCAATGTTGCCGTTTTCTGCTCCAGTTCAAACGTTGATGAGAGTGATCCGCAGTCAGGGCAAGCAATAAACGTGGACGGTATGGAAAGAGCCCAAAGGCTCGAATGCGGCGATAGAGTGTACGCATAGTAACAGGTCTACCTTCGTCTCCAAACCAATGGTCAGCGATTTGACGCGTAGTAGCGAAACGGTCTCGCAGGGCTAGTTGTCTGAAGCGCCTATCTTGACGCCTTGTTGTACGCCTCGGTGGACCAGTTTGCCTTCTTCGTGTTCCTCTACCTTCTTCTGTCCACACACGATACACGCATTACCGTCATTGCACTACAATTAACACGGCGGCCAATTTCGCGATAGGACCAACCAACATCTCGATAGGCAATAATTCTACCCCTGTCAAAGTCGGTAACATGGTGATAACTTGCACGTCTTCGACTCGGGGAATTTTGTTTTGCTTAACACTAGTAGATGAAAGTGCAACAGCTAGAAATATCTGTACTACTCAGCTCTCAGAAACTGCTTTCCTCACCAAAACGAAGAAATAACATTCTAATAAAGGTAAACAAAAACAAAGATAAAACGTTGACATTGTTGCCACAGCATGCTATAAATATTACATTATGTCGCCAAAAAACAAGTTGAAGAAATTATTTTTTCTTGGTGTAACACTTCTACAAAATGACACTGAATATACTTTGACTGCACAGATATTTGGTCGTAAAATATGTTAAAACCAAAAGTGATTGCCACATGAGTGGCTTTGAGGCTTCCAAAAACTGAGAAATCCCAATTTCAATATTATTCGATCCGATCCGGTTGTTGTCTGTTTCAATTAGGGGCAGAGTTTGCACACTCTGACCTGAGGTTAGGGATAGCAGTATTGCTAATTTCCTCATCCGAATATCTACAGAGCTCAGCAGCAACCCCTCTAGTTGGTTAAGAACAACCACAGAAGGAACTACAGACAGAAACGTTTCTTTTCCCTTAAGGTATGCCAGAAATGGTTTTATTAACTTTATGAACACATAGCGGGCACAATTTACCCTAACGTACAGCATTATACTGGAAGAGCTGTCCCTTAAATATGAATCTGAAACCAAAATCTCTGCATATGCCAACTCCAGATTCGTTAAGAAATTATCTCTGCGGAGAAGTCTGATCCCAGTTCAATATCCTTCTAACTTAAGTGTTCTATCTCTATAAACTGACTAAGGGCCATATCGTCAGTCATTCCTACAATTGTAGGACGCCTTTATGGCCTACTTGATATCGATAATATCAGGTCCTCTTCGATATGGTGCTTGTATGTCCTGCTTTAGATTTGCGGCATCCTGACAGTTCTGGCTCCCTCGCTTATGCGTGGGCAGCAAATACAATTTGTTTGTAAATTCTGCCTCTGTGCCTCTGAACAGAAATTATTTAATTCTCCCGAATTCCCTCCGCTGTAATCAGTGAATTTAAATGGATATTGCTCAGCTGAAAGTAGCGCGTGGCAAAGCATTTCGCCTCTCTGAGACCTATCTGTAAGAGGTTTAACGCGAATGTTTTTGAACTTGGAAGTGAAACTTCTCCAGCTGTAGCCCGAAGAAAAATATGAATTACTCTATATAAATTAATGAGTATTAACTTTTGACTTTAGATTGTATACTTTTTTATATGAAATAGCTTCTGTTGAATTACTCCCTGAATGAGAATGGTTTGCGTTTTGCAATAGCATAAGGGCAATTTTTTGTTTTTATTTTAATGGGTTCCATGGTATACACGGTGTCCCAATATTCCGTGGACATAAATGTACCATGTATTTTTAGTCGATTAGACATGATTTACCTCTATGCAAAAGTGATACGGTTGTCCGTTTAAAACACATTTTTTTAAGATATTTTATGAACCGATAGTCCGATCTGAATGAGATTTGAAACACATATGTTTTGCTGGAAGTTCTAATATTTGACTTTTACGAAAAACTCTATGGGATTTGAAAATGGTGAAAACTACACCCACTCCTACATATTATAGCGGTATTATTTGGCAACTTTCCCGACGACTCTGACTTCTTTTATTTAGTAGACTTTTTTATTTAGTCCATTTTTTGTCTCTTTTAAAAACCGACCATCTCGGATAGTTTTCGAGAGAAAAAATGAGTTGCATCAAGAAGTTCCCAAGCATCTTATTAATTGTTCAACTTTCTCTAAGTTGTCATCAACCATGTTCCCATATGAAAAAACCGCCAGGATTAAGATCCGGGGAACGAGGTGGCCATTAACTAGGAGCGTTTTGATCTCTATCAATCGATCACGAGTACTTTCTTACAGTACTCGCAAAGTCAGGTGGAGCACCATCATGAATAAAAAACATGTCTATTCTTTTATTCACATGCAGTTCCTCTCATAACTCATGTGGAACGCATTGTAGAAAATAATATAAGATATATATTACCGTTTAATTTATCAGGCAGCCTATATGGACCAACTAAGAAGTTCCCGTTCCCACGTTAATTTCGAATTCTCATTGAAAATGTCTTTCTGAAACTGCATGTGCATTTTCTTCATCGTAAATATGTGTATTATGCAAAATCCTGTTATAAGAATATTTTTTAGAAACTAGCTCCGAAACATTTTTTTCCATGAAACCTATGTGAGATGACATGTTTATATGAGAGGCAAAAAGAAATAAAGTACATAAAAGGATCTTTTGACTAAAACAAAAATCAGTGTCGTTGGAAGAGGGAAGATTCTGCTATATTTTTTGTAGGGTAGGCGTAGTTTCTACCCTTCTCGAACCCTTTCGGGTTTTTTGTAAGTTAGATATGGACGTCTAGCAAAACATATATACATAATTTCATTCAAATCAGAGTATAGAATCCAAAAATATCTGAAAGAATGTGTTTTAAACAGAATAGCTGAACGCCCTCTAACGAACAAACGAATCACTTTTGCATAGAGATAATTCATGTCCAATTGACTCATTTTGAATCTAAAAATACGTGGTACTTCTACGTCTACGGAATGTTGGGACACCCAGTATAAGAATGTTAGCAAAACAATTTTCTAAGAAAATTCTTGTTTAAGGCCCCTGCAGACTGCAGACTTTCTATCGGCCGATAGTTTCATCGGCTTCTTAATCAGCATGGGGAGGTATACATATGCGCACATTACAGCGATTCACTATCGGCCGTTAAAAAAGTTTGATGGGCTTCCCTTCCCTTCAAACTAATCTGCCGGCCAACTGTTGTTAGATAACTTCCACTTGCGCACACACGACGATTGTCTAGTCGGCCGATAGTTCAGTTCGCTCCGAGCTTTGGCGTCGGGCAGTCGGGTAATCAAGTAATTTGGAATGGATTGTGTAAAATTTTCCTCTAACGAATCTATCACTGAGAGTGGGGTGCACCCAATATTCTTTGATTTTTCTTCTCCGTTGTATGAGAGCAATAATAACATTTCTATACAATATATATGTGAGCCTTTCGCTGAATCGCTACGCTACGCCATTGAATATGTTTTGTCTATTGAATATGTTTTGTTTACTTCTGGCGACCGTGAATATTCCGATGTGCTGCGATGTGTTTTTGTGGGCAAGGTGGTTAGTTATAGTCAGTCTTGTAACAGATGCTGGAGTGAATACATGTGATACAAGTTATGAAGTGTTTGATTTTCCCTAAGAAAATGATAATTTTCTCACATCAGAAGTGGGATTCAACTCGCTAAAAGGACCACAAAAGAAATACATAGTGCAACCTGACTTATTTCGAGTGTGCGTGCGTGAGCAATTCATTGTCCTGAGCGTATATACCTAGTGAGCGTTACTTTTGGCAATGATACTTAAGTGCTAAAAGTCTGTCAAAATGGAGGAATTAACCAGCGTTTTAAGTGCATTTGTTCGAGGAATTCAGCAGCAACCCCAACAAGCCGCAGCGGCGCCGGTGGTGCCAGCACCCTCTGCGCCAATTAACATTCCAGCTTTCGATCCCTCAAAAAGCGATGCGGGAGCGATGGGTTGGTGCGATGATATGGAGACCTTGGCGACCACGTTCGAGTGGACTGATTTTGAACAGCTTTGCAAAGCCGCGGGTGCCCTGGAAGGTGACGCAAAGGATTGGTATGACAACTGGCACCCATCAAATAAAGTTTGGGCTAGTTTCCGGGCCGAGCTTTGTCAGCTTTATCCTGCGAAGAGGAATCTTAGTGAGCGGTTACGTAAAGCTAGTATGTACAGAAGTAACCAAGCAACGGGATATTGTGAGTACGCAAGGAAAAAAATATCTTTGTTAAACTCTCTAGATTTTAATTTGAGTGATAGTCAAATAGTTGAGATAGTTATTGGTGATATAACGGACACACATGTCAAAACAGCTACTTCTAATAGTAGAGTTGATTCCATTTCGACCTTACTTAACTTGCTTAGCAACTATCAAATTAATAAACAAGACTCTCAGCTTCAAGTAGGGGCGCCAAAACGCCCGAATCCGTTTAAACATAATGATGAGGGAAAAATATGTTATTCCTGTAAAAAACCTGGTCATATCAGCCGGAATCGTTTTAAATCATTTAAATTATTCAAATACGATAATACTAATAAGGCGAGAAGCTCAAATAATCTGCCAGGTATTGCGAAACCCTGTGAGATCTGTAAGAAATTCGGGCATAATTCTGAAAAATGCTTCTTCAAAAGTCAAAATAAAGCAGAGAAGTCATCTCTTATTTTTCAAAACGTGCTTCAAAGGAGGAAAGTAACTACCACTCATACGAGCTTGAGACTCTAGCCGTCTATTATGCAGTAAAACATTATCGCGTTTACTTATATGGAATCACATTTAAACTTATCACTGATTGCAACTCGCTAAAATTGACTCAGAAAAAAAAAGACTTATTGCCCAGAGTAGCGAGGTGGTGGCTCTACCTGCAATCGTTTAACTTTAATATCGAATATCGGAAGGGTAAATATATTCCACACGTCGATTATTTTAGCCGAAACCCACCTCAACCATTTGAAGAAATCGAATGCGTCGCCCCCGTGAATGTTCTTACAACTAATAACTGGCTTAAGATTAACCAAAAGCGCGATCCCGAAACTCGTGATATCAAATCAAAATTACTCGAAGGTCAGCTAACTTCTGTCAAAACGAAGTTCTATTTCGAAAAATTAACCCGGGCCAAAACCCACCAATTTACAGGGCTTTCGTTCCAAAGGGAAGTAGACTCGGTTTGTTAAAAATTTTTCACGACGAACAGTCGCACGTTGGACCGGATAAGACCTTCGCAAAGCTAAACCATTATTTCTGGTTCCCGCGAATGGCACGTTTCGTCAAAAAGTATTGTGACCACTGCCTTAAATGTATTGTAAATAAAAAACACACTGGGCGCAAACAAGGACTATTACACCCTATCGAAAAGACCCCAATTCCATTTCACACAGTGCATTGCGACTGTGTAGGACCATTTCCTTTAACATCAGAGGGTTACAAACATGTTCTTCTTTTAATAGACGCATTCACGAAATATTTATTTCTAATTCCATTAAAAACCCTTTCTGGACCTGAGACTTGTAAAAACCTAAAAATTTATTTAAATATTTTTGGGAACACTAAACGGTTGATAAGTGATAGGGGAACTAATTTTAGCGAACAACAAGTAAAAGAGTTACTCTCAAAATTAAACATTACCCAACATCTAATTGCCAAAAGTGCCCCACGCGGAAATGGGCAGGTAGAGCGATACGTCTCAATAGTTCTAGACCTGCTCAGAGTAAATGTCAATAATAATAAGTCAGAATGGGCGAGCGTTCTCCCCAAGTTACAACTGACCCTTAATACTACTATCCAAAAAACCACGGGATTTTCCCCGCTCTATTTGTTAACAGGGCAACTTATGGATACCATGGACATTCAGAATTTAACAGAGAGTATAAAACCAGTGACGACTACTGATCAAAATTTAATTAATGATCGTAACACTGCCTACGAACGCTCTCTGCGTTGCGGTTTAGAGTCAAAAGACAGATTTGATAAAAGCCGAAAAACAACTAACAGTTTTAAAGTAGGAGACATAGTTTTCCATCCATCTGGAAATTCGCACCTAGCTAAACTAGACCCTAGATACCAAGGTCCATTCGAAATCTTACAGTTGTTGCCTAATGACCGAGTAGAAATTAAAAATTTGGCGACCAATCGCAAAAGAATTGTTGCTAATGATATGATGCGGGTATGGCCAGGTGAATTTGAATAAGATAACATTTAATAACCATTGTTATTTGTTTATCCCTTTTTGTACATTCTTTTGTTGGTATTATGAGAATGTTGTATGTTATATTTAGAGACATGAATAATGATTATGATTTACGTTGTTGTTATTATAAAGTATTTGTTAGGCTATAACCGTGTGAGCCTTGATATTACAAAAACCTGACAAAATAAATTAATGAAAAAAAAAAAGTTTTGGGTTGAAAGACGTGCTCTTTGCATCAAGGTAATGAGACCTTGATTGCTGAAATGACGTGCTCTTTACCTTGCTGGTTAAAAAACCTTGCTACTTGTTGAAAGACGTACTCTTTGCGACAAGGTCATTAGCACTTGATCGTTGAAATGACGTGCTCTTTGCAATAGTGAGTGATGTATCGTTAAAAGCTGAAAGACGTGCTCTTTGCGTTTAGATCGTGAGGGTCTAAACGTTGAAATGACGTGCTCTTTGCTACATTATATAGTCTAAATGGTGTTCTTGTAACATGGGTCAGGAGGTAAAATTCGAGAACGAATTTAGTGGCAGGATTGGCCGTGTGAGCCTTTCGCTGAATCGCTACGCTACGCCATTCAATATGTTTTGTCTATTGAATATGTTTTGTTTACTTCTGGCGACCGTGAATATTCCGATGTGCTGCGATGTGTTTTTGTGGGCAAGGTGGTTAGTTATAGTCAGTCTTGTAACAGATGCTGGAGTGAATACATGTGATACAAGTTATGAAGTGTTTGATTTTCCCTAAGAAAATGATAATTTTCTCACATATATATATAGTGCTTTTTTCTAGTGCTTTCCCCTTTGATTTTTTGAACGGATCAATACAAAGAATTAAAACTTGAGGTAATGAAATTGATGCGTGTATACCATATTTTAGAGTAAAATTGACAGATGATAATGTCAAGATGGCCGCCTGGAGCCGTCTTAGAAAAAATCACACATCATTTTATTTTTTAGCATTATTGATCAATTTAAACAGAAAAATCACTGACTGGCAAGTGCGCCTTGCTTCAAGACTGCTGATTAGATGTTTTTCAAGTAAGGAATCATGAGGTATACCTATGGGCGGGTAAACGCCATCCACTTTCAGTGACAAATATTTTAAGAAACGTCTTTGAGCCTACTTATATGAATAATATGATGCGGATTCCAAATTAGCAATGCATACTCAAGCTTCGACCTAAGATATGCATAATACAGCAACTTCAAGGTGGTACTCTGAGTGAAGTCACGGCAGTTTCTTGCAATAAAGCCGTACATGCGGTTTGCCTCGGAAATTTTGCTGTCAATGTGTTTGACGAATGTTAGTTGGGAGTCAAATGTCACATAAAGTTGAAGTTCTCTGAATAGGGGTACCTGACAGGGTACAGTCAAATAACAGAGGATTTTTTTTCAAAGTGTAAGACATTACGTAACATTTATTTATGTTTAATGACAGATTGTTTTGTGAGCACCAAGCATCCAACCTGAACAGATTTTCTAAAAGTTGATCACACACGACAAAACATCTTCAGATCATCAGCGTAAAGTAAACAATTCTCGCCAACAGCATTAACTATGTCATTCACAAATATGGCGAACAATAAAGGCCCTAGGTTACTGCCTTGTGGCACTCCGGAATTGGCTACATACTTCGACGATCTGATGCCATTAAACATCACAAATTGATTTCTTCCAGTGAGGTAGGACTTAGATAATTGTATTAAAGGATCGGATAATCCATGAGATTTCAGCTTATGCAATAGCATCATGTGATCAACTCTGTCGAAAGCCTTGGAGAAGTCTGTGTAGACCACATCTGTGTGTAATCCTCTGTCAATGTTTTCTGCTATGGTCTGTGTGAAGTTCATCAGATTTGATACTGTTGAGCGCCCTTTCATGAAACCATGTTGAACACATATTTTTCTGCTGCCATGATGATATAGTCTGTTATATGTATATTAATATCTCTATAGCTTTTGAAAAATTGCACAATATTGATATAGGTCTAAAATTTGATACATCATTCCTACTGCCATTTTTGTGTATTGGACATACTTTAGACAACTTCCATAATTCTGGAATTGTGCAGGTGGTAAGACACAAGTTGAATAAAACGGTCAAAGGACACGCCAACACAGAGGCACAGTCATGCAAAATAAAAGCTGGTACATTATCCGGTCCGGAAGTCATCTTAGGTTTTATTTGCTTCAAGGCTAAGACAACTTCATCCTCCTCAAATCTAGTAATACTGGGTAGTAGTCCTTTGCTCATTAAAAAGTCATCAGTTTCTTCGATGGCTGATGAAGAAGAGTAGTATTTGGAGAAGTTATCCGCAAAAGCATTTAATATGTCGTTCGGTTACAAAAGTTCATTACCATTGTAAATCATCCTACTTGATAAGTTTGTTGATTTTCGCTTAGAATTTCAGAAGCCCCAAAATTTATTCGAATCTCTTTGTATTTCGTTCTCAGCTTGTCTGACATATATTTTGTATGCTTCATCTGAATCTATCTTAATTTTTGATCTAAGTTCCCTGAATGTCTGATACGTTTTAGGATCATTGTTGCGTCTGTAAGGGCGGTGAATCCTCCTTGGGTTTGATAAGCTTAATTATTGCTGAATTGAACCAGGGTGGGTATTTACGTTTCGTAGCTCAGACATATTTTGGAACACAGGTATCAAAAGCATTGTAGAGTTTATCATAAAAGAACTCACATGCTTCATTCGCGTCATGAAAGCCATCTAAAGCAGCCCAATCCATGTCTGAAATTAAATTATATTATTGGGGGAAGTTGGCTTTGCGGAAATTATAAGAATTTATAAATGAAACAGGCAAATTATGCTTAGTATTGAGACTGCTGTTGACGTTACAACAAATATTCAGGGCAGGGTGATATGGGTCTTCATCTAGCAGCGGATCCCACGAATGTTCAACCTCACACAGACCACTACAGAAAACTAAATCAAGGGTATTGTCCATAGAATTTGAAATGTTGTTAATCTGATTAATAGCAAGACCCTCAGCAAAGTTGATCAGCGATACCAATTTTGCGTTGCGTCCATGACTGTTAGCATAAGAAGTGTAGTTAGCTATGTTGAAATCCCCTGTTATAACTAAATTCTTATCAAATAGGACGTGCGATGACAAGATAGCATCATAAAATTGCTCCTATGCATATTTGGGCTTATCAGGTGGTATGTAGACATGGCAAATGTACACTGGAAAAGAGTTGGTACAAACCTTGACTGCTACTACATCAATCTTTAGGGCAGAAAGTACTGCCAACTCAGGAATCTCTATCAAAGATGCTGTAAAACGCTCATCAATCACAATCAACACACCACCACCTCTTGAGCAACCAGTGGTTACATAATCACGGTCTGTCCGGAACACATTATGTGTAGTTGGAATAAATTCACTACTCATACATGAGAAATCTAACCAGGTTTCAGTTATTGCGTTCGGAATCCACGAACATTTTGGTAGTATATTAGAGGTTGCAGCCTATCACTACAATTAGAATCTAGTCCCTTGTGAGTTACTACGGAG